GTGGTGACTAGTATACTTGTTTGCAAATATAAGGATTCATATTTAGCATATAGCAAGAAATTATGTTTGTCTAGGGATGTGACAGGCTTCGGGTTTTCGCTATGATTGACAACCTCTCTGGCCGTGTGTATTTGGCTATGTTTACAGTGCCACACATGAATTCCCTCCCACTTAGTGAACTTTAAGTCCAGTTAGGTAGCTGCTGATTACTCACAAGATAAAAGTGCCACTACTGTACCAACATAGTCTGCTGCACTATTCATTGTTGTGGTTATTAGGCTTTAAATCTGGGATTGGATCATTATTTCCCTTAGCAGATTGCATAGTATCCTCTGGAATTATCAGAGCTAGTCTTCAGGGAGACTTCCAGGTTAGCTCTAGCTGAATTGCTCCAAATCCTGTGTTGGAAGTTTTCTGTAATACACTCTTACCTTCAAGTTCTGGGAAGGAACCAAGGGCTTCAGCAATAACCTGTGCTATTTTGGGAGTCTCCTGGACTACCCTGACCGAAAAACAAAAAACAAAAAACAAAAAAAAGTCAAAGGATGATTTCTCCTGTCTGGCACTGGTTTTCTTGTTACATAACCTTCAGGTATCACCGTGTCATCATGTTCAGATATTGTATGTGTATTTTTCCCTAATTTTCTGAACTGATACATTTCCTTCTGTTTTTTATATTACCAAAGTTATATTTATGTCTTCTCTCTCCCTCCCTGTCTAAATTCTGGCCTCTGTCCTTAAAGTACATTCATTATCCCCATTTTCCTTGTGCTAATTCCTGTCTCCTCTATCACTCCGCCCGCTCTCCTGAGCTTCTTCTTTCCCTTTACCTTCATGGTTACTTACGTATCCTTCCCTCCTCCCTTCCAAGTTGAGCACCCCAACTTTCCCCATTCCACCCTTGCAACACCTGTTTCCTGCTATCCCCCCTCTCTTGGGCTCTTTCCCTTCATTCCTTTCCATTTTTCTGGCTCCTGTGATTACATCAGGGTATAATCACATTTAAGGATTCAGTGCTAAGATCCAAACATGAGGGAGAACATATTTCACTTGTTTCTCTTAGTCCCTTTCACTTAGTGTGGCAGTTTCTTGCACCTTCCGTTTTCCTGCAAATTTCATTATTTCTCTCTTTCTTTATCACTGAATATAACTCCATTGTGTGAATGTAACACATTTTCATTATCCATTTATCCGTTAAGGGGCATTGAGGATTTCTACTATTACCTGTTGTGAAGGAGCAGAAATACAAATCAACCTGTAAAATAGCTCTACAATAGAATGAGCCCTCTGGGTCTATGCCAAGGAGTAGCATAACCAAATCAGATGTTGATTCATTTTTGGTTGTTTAAAAAGGTTCCCCACACTGTTTTCCATAGTGGTTGCACAAGCTTGAAATCCCACCAGCAGTGACTGAGGATTCCTCTTTCTCCACGTCCTCCCCAGCATTTGGTGCCTTTGCTCTCTTGATCTTAGCCAGTGTGACTGGAGTAAGATGAAATTTTAAATTGATTTTGAGTTGCATTTCCCTAATTACTTAACAATTTTTATTTCTTTGTTTGAGAACTCTCTGCACTGGTCCTTAGCCCATTTTATTGGGTCATGTTTTTTTGTTTCTCTGTTTGTTGAGTTCTTTATGTGTTCTGGATATTAATCCACAGTCAGGTGTGTAGCTGGGGAAGATTTTCTCCCATTCAGTGGGTTTTCTCTTCACTTCATTATTTCTGTACATAAGTGTTTTAGGTTAATGAGGTTCCACTTTTCTATTGTTGACCTTAATTCATGAGCAATTGATGTCTGACTTAGAATCTTTATACTCAGCGTGTTCCTAAAAAAATTCAGTTTTCTCCATGGAGCTCTGAGGATAGGATTATTTATATTCTTTAAGAATGCTGGACACATAGGCAATTATGTACCTCACATTTTTGAGTGACATTTTCCAACTTAAATTCCTCTCAACAGAAAGCCTTGTATATATGCAGAAAGTGTTCCATGGAAAAAATATGAATTAATGTCATATAAGGCACTCAGAACTTTTAAATTTTGAACAAACCTTTATGAGAGTGAATATTCTCTGAA